AAGCGTGTTGAGATTATTTTGAATGAAATATTGAAGTTTATAATTAAGTGTTTTGGCACACCACGCCGAGTGGCCCTATGCATTTTTCTAAAGTCGGGTTTATTCTGGCATCGTGAGTTAGTGTTCGACAAACGCGGCGGCGCGTTCATTTAGATTAATTTATTTATCTCATTATTACAGCTAAAATAACTTAATAGGCGACTCCGTAATTTTTTGGTCATACAGATAAGAGTAGAGTAGCTTACATCGTTCAAAACTGTAAACTTGTATTCATATTAGGCTAACGACAAAAACAGTATATCTGTCCTCTCTGTCTCCGGGAACTGCGCGTCACAAAAATGAACCGAAAGCCACTTCAGCTCAGTCACGATAAGAAATCGTCTATGTCTAAAGAATTTAAATGTCTAAATATTTAGGCTAATAAATGTTATCTGAATATGTAGGCTAATCCATATGAAAACGAGAGGTACAGAGGATCTACTCAAACATGCGCTTCCCAATGAGAAAATGACAAGACAAGGGTGAAAATCTCGCTCTAATTAAATGTAGGCTAAATCGCCCTGAATTAAAATGTAAAAACATAATAATGTATTAGTCGAAATGTTGCGATATTGTTTCATTTAAGTTCATATTTATTCTATAAATGTTATTTAATTTAGCAGCATTACCACTAAGCACCGTGTTTCGATATTTATTTGAATACAAAATAAAATAAAAACTTAATTCACAAATTGCATGCCTGGTTGTAAGGATCCAAAGATCCCTGTAGACTTTAATATTAAGTTGAACATTTTGTTCATGACAACAAATTAACAAGCGTTTTTTCAGATTATATTTAGTTTTGCTTGGAAAAAGCTGGCCCAAACCAGTTTTATTTCATTAATTATTGAAATAATGAAATATTTAGTAATAAACTTTTATGACAGAAATATCACTAGGCTACATGTAACTTAAATCATTTAATTCCTTCATTATCAACACTGTCTAGAATAGCGATTTAAGTGTGAATTGCGACTTCTCTTTGTGTTAAGTCAGCCTCAGACTCCGATAGCCTGTGGGGGGTTGGAGGGACATTGCTGGACAAAGGTGTTAATGTTCCTCTTTCATATGGAGAGTGTCGGATAGCCAGCCTGATGAGCAGGCAAAATTATTGTAAGGATAAATCTGTGTCCAAATGTAGGCCCCATATCTTATTAAATTATAAATATTGTAGTTTATTTATTGTAGCCTATTTTAATTTTTTTTTCACACAAAATTTCAATTGAAGTTATTGTAAGGTGAATTCAACAAGGCATGCTGTGTCTTTGAAGCAACAATTAAAGGCTAAATAATTATCATGCATTGATCATATCATGCATGCGCAGCGAGGGAGACTAAATAAATTTGTTAAAAAGAGTTCCAGCGCGAGAGAGGCAAAGAAAAACGCATGTTTTTAATTTAATTATGTTTCTTTGGACAATTTTCGTTTTGTACTGTTTTAATTGTTTAATTTAGCTGTAATTTCTTTGGCAATACAAATTTAAAATGTCGCAATAATAAGATTAGCCTAGTGTTTCTTATTTTGCATCGCAAAAGAAATAAACTCTAAACCCGATGCAACCCTGTTTTAAATAAAAAAAACTGTCCCGACACTTTATTTAAACCTTGAAATGTTCGAACTTGGTTTCAAACTTAAGTAATTTTAGTGTTCTTTTACATTACACAATAATTTAGCAGACTAAAGACGAGCTTCTTCATTTTCATTTTCTGACGCAATCGGCTGACAATCTTCCTTCATCAGTTTATGTCGTTTGTGCAGCGGCTGCGGTTCTACAGGAATGTAGCAAATTTATGTTGTAATGATAATTAAACAAAACTCTTGACTTTAAATAAGTAAACAGTTATAAACAGTTAGCTATTTAAGCATCAAGGTGGTAAAATATAAACGCTGTAGGACAACATCGGTTAACAACATGTATGCTACATTGAGATTCGATCTAGGGTCGTTTGAAGCTCCTCGAAGCTCGTGTTGTTGCGTTAACCACTGAGCTATCGTCTGTACGCTGTTTAAGTTGTAAAGCCTCATTGATGTAGCCTAAATGTTTTTATTGCAATGTTTTATGTTGAAATGTTTTCATTATTTATTCAATTACATTTCAGTAGCCTAATTTCAGTATTGTGATTATGAATTATTTTAACCACGTTTCCCACTTGTTGAATTCTTCTGCTACCAGCTTTCAATCGCTCTGAATCAGCGCGGTGCGGCAGCAGATTACGCATTAGAGAGAATAAACCGGAATAAACGAACACTTTTCATAGTCTATGATTGTAGCGCCTCTTAGCGGTAAAAGGCAGCAAATACACCACACATTTTACCACCGCGGTGGAACGGCTGATGTGGGCATTGTCATGGCTTGCCGACATTTGCGTTTGAATAGCGCGCGTCCTCCGTGGGCGTGTCAGATTAACGCGTAATGAAGTGTAATGAGCTGGGGAAAAAAATACTGACAGCACTCTCTTTTCATACAGATTGCATAAACTGAGAATATTTGTTTTTTATATAAATTACTTCATTTAAAAGAAGAGAATTCAAGCTTCATAAAGAAAAATCTCTCGTGCCTGTATGACAAGTAATCGCGGAGTTACAGTTAATCTTAGGACGCGTTTCAGAATGGACTTCACTGACAGAGAGAACGCAGAACTCGCATCATGTTTGTTTTTCTTTATTTGGTGAAAAGCACAACACTTTGTTTTTATTGTGAGTATCCACAAAAAAATAGAAACTTAACAGGATCGATTGATGTATAACATTTGCCTGTATGACAAAAATCGACTGAGTTATTTGAGTCTCTTTTGCACTGATAAGAAAAAAAGCGAGACAATCGCGCCGGCGCGATAGCCGACCCCAGGGGGATAACCTGCTAATGAGTGATCTATGTATACATGTGTATGATACAATATCTCGTACGCCGCTGTTGTGTTGTTCAGTCATCATGGTTCACGATTATTGAATGGCGTGTACAGAAAATCCGAAAAAACGTAAACGTAAATCAACTAAGGTAAGCAGGCTTTGGGACAAACGGAGACATAAAACAAGGATCAATATCGGCGTGGCGTTTTCGAGATAGAGAGAGCTTCGCGACTTTGCTCTCGCATTTTTTTTAATAGACAGGTAAGCAAATCTATATTATTTATTGTATACATACAGATATTTTGAACTTTATTTGTACTTCAGTAACGCTTTTTATCAAGTCTGGTTACCAAGTCTATGGCAATGAAATTAAATATACAGTATTGTGTTGCACAAAAATATTTAGCCATTACTTGCAAATACTGCGGGTTTGTTCAAATGTACTTTTAGTACGATTGTTTTAAACGTGCTGCGCAGCCCTATATACTGCATCAGGTAACAGGCTAATATAGCATTATATTTCACGTTCCTTGCAGCTAATTCATTACGATGACATAAAATAGTGTGATCAAACGTAAAGGTAACACAAAAACTAATTTCTTAGCTGATATATAATTTATATGATTTGTGAATTCCATACATCTCTGGATGGTGAAAACGACATCTCCCATCATTCCACTCTCCTTCATAGCGTCATCAAGCTTCGCCTTTATTATTGTTTTGAAAATGCAACCTCTTGCGGCGAAAAAATTACAGATTGTACCTTTAAACAAATTTCATAGCCTCCAGCATGCAAGATGATACAGATTCTCACTTTGTGCATAAATAAACCTGATTTCCAAAACTCACCAAATCCTCCCACTATGCTGCCTATAACTCTCCCTTAACAGGTGTCAACACAGATGCTGTCTGCTCCCCTCCTGTCTTATCAACCCCAAAAATACGCACCAGCACTACTATACAATATTACCAAAAACAAGAACCAGATGTTTCATAACTATATAACATTTCCTTTATATAACCTGAATCCTTTAATTCCATCACATAGTTATACAATACTGTAAGGTTCACAAAAAAAGGTTCGAAAAGACCTTGACTTTCGATAAGATCTAAAATAAATGCAAAGACATTGAGTCATTCCACTTCCCAGGATGAATGTTTTTAACATTTACTGTAAATGGAAAAAGCCCATGTCTAAAGTCAATTACACACCTTGTGCTGCCGTCTTTAAAGGTCTTAATCTACAGCAGCCGTTCAGGGGCCCTGACGCCATATTTCACCTGCAGCGCGTGCCGACTCGCTTCCCATCTGCTGCTCGTTCTAATAAATGTTTTCAAGGTGTATTACTATCAGTGCGCTGATAATTGAATTGGGCTCAAGGCTTTATGATATATTTGCATTGGACTGCATTAATTTATCCAATATGATTGGAATGCTCATCTTTGATAAGACACTGATATAATTCATAACAAAAAAAGCAGAAGGATTTTTGGCATGAAGATTTTCTGAACTTGATTACAGTGTCAGAGATATAAGGAATGTTTTACACTAGCAACAAGACACTGCAACAACATCAACAATAATAATGTATATTATTATCATGAATCTTCAAAATTATTTTTTGTATGGACTTTTTAGCTACAATGTAACAGATTTTGTTTCCATTTTATTGCATAACTGGAGACTGTTATTTTATGTTATGATATGTTATTGTTCTATATTATCATTAGGTAAAAATGTATATTTTTTATTCAGCAAGGAAGTATTGATCAAATGTTATTTTCTACTTCTATTCTAAAATCCTAAGAAAAAATGTTAAATGAACTGATGTTTATTGAGCACCAAATCAGCATATTAGAATGATTTCTAAAGGATCATGTGACTGAAGTCTGAAGTAATGATGCTGAAAATTCAGCTTTGCCATCACAGAAATAAATGACATTTTAAAATATATTAAAACAAAAAAACATTATTATTATTATTATTATTTTGTAATCATTACACATTTAATCTTTAGAATTTATTTTTTAAATTATTATATTCTACTAATTATATATTATATTATATTATTATTATGCTCTATGTAAGTAAAAGTCAGTCTGGAATGTACCTTTCTTCTCGTGCTTGTTTGACCTCTTCTCTCTTGTCCACATAATCCCGACTGCAATGAAGACAATAAACATGAGAAAACACGTACAAGAAGTGAAAAAGAATGCCTTTTATGCCTTTAGAATCTACCAAAGACATTTGGAGTTCCTGGGGTTAAATGATGTTTCATGTTAATTAAACAATAACAATTCAAGTTGGTGTTTTTGTTATTACACAACAGTAGAGGTTGACTACAGGACTTAAAGACTTTAAATGATAGGATTGAAAAAGATACAAAAAAAAAACAAGCATTTGTCTTCCAGCAGTTCACCGTGATTATTCATTGTCTGCTCTAAATGCTGTTTTCTTTTGAATGACCATAATAAGAGGCAATAACTTGTCCAATCAGGAAAACTCCCAGATCTCCGATAAAAAATTGGATAGAGTTGGATACAGCTGTTTCTCCAAACTTTTGGACAAAATGTTTCTCATGGTCATCTCCAACATGAGAGATTCGGAAACGAATCAAGACGTCGAAAACGCTGATAGATTTGTCATATTAATGAAATAATGTAGCCCTGGGTGCATACAATAATGGCATCATGGCAAATGCTAAGAAAGGCCACAAACTTGAAACGGCTTCTCTCCTCTCTTTCAATCCGCTGAAGTCTTTCCTCTCTCTCCAGGCGCCTCCGCTCACGTTCTGCATTCAGAGAGTCCTGGTGCTGCCTGTAGGACGAGGTTAACAAACCCCCCAGAGTCGGCCTGGAGGACCAGAGAAATTAAAGAGGATCAATTTTACAGAACAACAGTATTACAGAACAACAATACTTGAAGTAATCAGTATTCAAAATTGCATTCTGCGGGGTAAAAATAGAGTTCCCATGTTCGCTTCAACCCGTAGACTAAAAACAACTTGAGGCAACAGTGTAAAAGTAGCCCAATCTCCAGACTATCTAACTGCATGACGTAAATTAATGACACAATTTCACGTGCATTTGAATTAATTGTGTGCGTTAAGGCACACCTTAAGAAAAAATGTGCTTTACACTACTCCCATAGAATGATTGCAGATTTTTTTTTTCATTTTGTTTAAGACTTTTATAAATGTATGAGTTGGAGAGGGGATTTTTTTTTAAAAATATGACTGATTCATTATAAATATGGTGATTATCTCTAAGGTGGACACCCAACTTAATATATGATATTTAGCATCTGAATCTAATATATATAAAATCATAACCATTTCAGCCTTGAATGCACTTTCACACATGTACTTCAAAGAAGAACAGTGGCTCACCTGTCCGGTCCTGGGCCCCCAGATGGTCCCAAACGGTTGTGGGGTGTGGAGGGGGCACTGGACACCCCAGATGACCTGCCAGGATATGTTCCTGCATAGCCATTGCTAAATGAAGGTGGAAGAAGAATTTAATAGTCTGTTCATAGTTTAGCCACAAATTATTCAGCCACAAAAACAACAAATACTTTATTTAAATACATTTTTAGATTTTACATAATTTTTTTTTTTTTATATTTGAAATATAAAATATTGTTTAAAAAAAAATTGGGGTTAGTAAGATTATTTTTTTTTAAGAAATAAATAAATAAATTAATATTGTATTCAGCAAATATGGAATAAATGAATCAAAGTGCAAAACTGACAGTAAAGACATTTATAACATTACAAGATTTTTTTTATTTAAAATTGTTTCCATAAAAAAAATTTTAGCAGCACAACCATTTTTAACATTAATAATAATAAGACATTTTTATTGAGCACCAAATCAAGTGACACTGAAGACTGGAGTAATAATGCTGTTTAACTGTTTATTCTCTCCCTTTTTTGATCAAATAAATGCAGCCTTAGTGAGCATAAGAGACTTCTAAAAAAATATTTTACAGTGTACATTATAACAAAGTTGATTTGTGGGAATCTGTTGTCCTGAAGTTTACCTCTTAACAGCATAAAGCTAAAGCCTTTAGATTTATCCAAGAGAAGGAATGACCATCTTTTCCATTCACTTCATTTATCATTGATATCATCAGCTAGTACACACAGACAAGGGGTTGAAGCTCTGATTCCAAATGATGTCGTGTATTTCCTCCATCAGGACCACATTACACTACAGACGTCCTGAGTGAAGAGGCCAATGTGAACCCTCACAGACTCCCCAAAAATCCAAGGACACACACACACACACACACACACACACTCTTCTAAATCCAGACTTTACATGAGTAGGTGACAAAATAAAAACTTCTTCCCAAATAAAGCAGCTTGCCAGTTCAGATCGCTGGCTGGAGATGTACGCGATATGACCTTGTATTGGGAGATATGATTAACGAAGTGGGGGATCATTTCTCTGCACAATCCCATCTTCATTAAAAGAGGTCAGTGACATGCTGTCATTCGCTCCTTACACTCTACGTTTGAGTCTGCTGTGATTCATTACACACATTATCGGAGTAAGAACTGAGAGCCCGGAATGAATCCTGGCTTAATACCAATGGGAAAAACAGACACTGTTCTAAATTTCAAAGTGTTCCAGCACCTGACAGCATAAAAAGTCAAACACACTTTAAAGTAAATCGGTTTAGCCTTGCCAAATAAAATCCTGTTCTGTAGAATTTGAACCACACCAAGTAACAAATTATTACTAGAAAATGGCAGCATTACCCACTCTAGGTGTCTGGGTTGATGTGATACATAAAATCTTTGTGATGGAGAATTAAAAAATAAATAAAATTCAATAAAATTCAATTCAATTCAATTATTAAATGTCTATATTTTATATTTTGGTGCTTTCTTCATTTCAGAATATTGGACTTCATTCTTGTAATTGTTTAAAACTTTTAAAATATATCAATATTAAAAACATTTTAGTAGGGCATACCGTTATCCTTTTAAAACTACTTCTTGTAGACATCAAAGGACTTTTCACACTGCGCTTAACCCCGGGTACTCGTCATTCTAAACAACACTTTTTACCGCTTAAAGCAGGGGTGTCAAACTCAGCTCCTGGAGGGCTACAGACCTAGAGTTTCCAACCCTGCTCCAACACACCTAGGCTGCGTCCAAAATCTTAAAAAGTATGCCTTCGGAAGCTGAATTGCAAGGTTCGAAGGCATCAAGGCATGTCCGAATCTAATGTTAGCTTCACTTCCTGTTTCCTGAGATAACTTCATCTGATATCGATTTTTGAAGGCAGCATAATGTATCCCTTGCTGTCTTTGATATCCCACAATCCTGTGCGTTCCACTCAGTGACAGATAAGCTAAAAAAGAAAGATGGCGCCTGAAAGTTGCGGTTGGTGGTCAGTTTGTGTAAATGTACGTTTTTGGCCCACATTCTCCACTTTTTATGTCACTTATAGCTAGAAATTACTATTGTAGTAATTTACTGTAGATCATTACACCGTTACCCTGTCTCAGAAGTCTGTCCAAAATCAGTTTCGGTAGGTATCTTCGTACACAAACGCTGCCTGCAAAGTAATTGCCTAATAGGGCAGCGAAGTCCTCTGCCTAAGTTTTCGGACGCAGCCCTACTCATAGTTTTCAAATAAGCCTGAAGGACTTGATTAGCTGGATCAAGTGTGTTTAACTAAGGTTTAAGCTAAACTGCAGGGCTGTTATGACACCCTTCTCTCTCAGGACTTTTGCGGTGTTAACCCCACATTGCGGTGAAAAACGTGTATGGAGTGAAATGATGCAGCGTTAGAATGTTAAACCTAGATGCTTAGCAACCGACAGCCAATCACGTGCCTCGTTTTCACGTTTTGGACCATCACGGAAACACAGCACGTTGTATAAACATTATGTTTCAGCATCTGAGGGGAAAAAAAATGTCAATTGGACAATTGGAGTAAAGAAGAGACCATTTAATTCCTTCCTTTTTAGTCCAAAAAGGCCTTTCAGGATAAACTTGATAGTACAGTCAGCAAATATGATATGAGGATGTGCAATACTAGAGCATTTATGTAAACATACTGTGTGCGGCATTAGCCCAATCAGTGTACAGTGTGAAACGTCACTGTATGGATACCCAGAAATAATTGTTAACCCTAGGTAAAGTACTGTATGAGCAGTGTGAAACGTGAAGCAAGATAACCCAGGAATCTCTTTATCCGTTGTGAATGACCCAGGGTTAACTATTTCACGTGTGAAAAGCCCTCAAGAGATGATCAAGAAAAGATGGGATAAAGAGCTTACGAAAAGGCTTGAACCAACATGAGAGCCACAACCTTTTCCTTTTAAATTGTGCACCAGAGCTCACAAACTTGATTTTGTTTCCAACTTGTTCCCTTACCTGCCACAAGAACTGCATGATGTGTTTGAGTACTTAACATCTGACAGACTGCACAGAAAAGACAGAACATGAAAAGTGAGTAATCGACACAGAAATTACAGAAAGATTAGTCTGACTCAAAGCTGTGACAGAAACAGAGGACAGAGTAACAAGTGCAGAGACAATACAGACAGAACGTGAATCAAAGCAGCCTCTGTTTATTAGTGCAAATATCTGTTTAAAGGCCTTGCATTACATACAAGCAACTTTTGCCCGGTTTCACAGACAAGGCTTAAGCCTAGTCTCAGACTAAAATGCATGTTTGAGCTGTTTTAACTGAAAGCAACTTGCACTGACATGTCTTAAAATATGTCAGTACCATTGTTTTGTCTCAAGATTCACACCAGTGAAGTTTTTTTAGGGTGCGTCTATAAAAACAACTTAAATGTCCAAATTAACTAAGGCTTGCTTAATCCTGGCTTAATCTAAGCCCTGTCTGTGAAACCGGGGCTTTTATGCTTTTAAGAGCCAACCAAAAATAATTATAATAATCTGTCAGAGTGAATATTAGCAATTGTTTTCCATGTAAAATAACTACTTTTAAAAGATCATCAATGGAGAAAGATGCTTTTTGCCAAATGGTGGTTATAACACCTACCAGCAGGGGCAAACTGGACCATGCTAACCAGTCAAACATTGACCCCTTGCTTGCTATTGCTAGTCGCTTTAGTCATCGATAGTTTCCCAGTTTTCCCAAAAGAGAAGATTTTGATGTCATGTTGACTTTATAAGTGTACTGTGCCCTTAGCATAATACTGTTGTGTAATTACAGCATTAATCATATTAAAGCTGCATATTGAAGAGTTTGCATAGTCTCAACAGACTAAAAAAAAGAGCTGTCTTTGATCCACTTTATAATCCAGATGGGTTCCTCAAGCTGCCATAGTCTTAAATGTCAGGCAAACATGCACATGACATTGCAAAGCATTTTCAGCTTCATTCTCATGAAATGTGGACCCTACAGGCACAGTCCAGGTTGAAATAAAATTGCCCTTTTATACGTGACTTAATTTACAGGCTTCTCTTGGCTTTGTAGTGGTACAATGCCTCAATGAAAGGCAGATGAGTTGTAAATGTCAGTAAAAGTTAGCATCCTTTAGGGAGTGTCTTGCACTACAGTGGCTGGTTCAAGAAAAAGTAAAAAAAAGAGACTTTAGTTCATAAATAAGTCTTTTTACATTCCATCCAATATTAAGGAACCAACATAAAACCCACTGAGTATAAAGATTTATCAGGCTATGATCGTACTAGTATATACAGTATTTCTCATTTTATTGGTCTGAGGATTTGATATACAAGACAGGTAAAGCCACAATATTGCACATAATACGCAGCGAGTGTAGCACTTTTTGTGAGGCTGCAATTTCTGGTGGATACAGGACATTTTACTGTGTTCTCTTGGAAGAGGATACAAAGGGATAGAGTGATGATCCACTAGGTGAGGGTCTGACTCTTTTCAGAAGGTAGGTTTGATGGAACAGGCAAAACAATAAACCCTCGCCATTCACAGGAGATCCAGAGATCAAGCAAACCCCATGTCACACTTCCTTCCTATTAGAGTATGAAAGTCCACAAATACTGTGGTCATAGTGTTTGTGAGTCTTGAATAAGTGAAAAATGACATGGGTTTCCAAATGTTACCTCTCAGGGATCTCATAGCTTGACTTATGTGGGAGTGAAAGTCATTCTCTGAATCAGACATGCAGCTTTGAATGGCTCTATACCAAACTTTATTGTCAGTATAGGCAGCTCCCTTTTAAGACAGATTTTGGTGTTAACATGTAGCTAATATATCAATCAGATACTACTATTTCAGAACTGAATAAAATATTTGTAATTGACTTTGACACAATGCCTTCTGGGCAGGGATGGATGGATGGATGGATAGATAGAGATAGACTTCCTGTGAGGTGTGTCAAATTCAAATCAATTTCAAACTTGAAAGAGAGCCAATTATTAAGTACTGGATTCTGCACATCCCTGATTTAGGGATAGCTTTAACCCCAAATTATATTTGAGAAGCTGCCTTAAAATTTGGCTATATTCTCCAGTTTACTGGGGCAGCTTTTGTGTCAGGAACGTTCATATATGTCTATGTAGGCAGCTCACTAGGGTTTGGAACAGAGCCCATCTGTACATGCATGGCAAATTGTTCTGTGAGTGGCGAAAATCTACTGCGTCTATCTGCACTACCTGCAGTGCTTGTCTGGGTCTCGACCCTGCAGAGTGCCCCCGGAAACCTTGTCCGAATCCACCGGGCAAGCAGGAAGAAGGGTGGAAGAGAGCAGAGGGAGGACAGGGGACAGTGGGTCTTCGCTTGGGGAGGTGGAGGCCGAGGAGGTAACAGAGGAACCCTGGGACGGGAGGGACCCCAAGGACCTGACCGAAGCCCAAGAAGACAGTCTGGGTGATATCGGGGGGCCAAAATCAGGGGTAAAAGGAGGGGAAGACACTGGGGCCTTGCGGATAATCTTAATCCCAGACCTGTCCCGGAGGTTTTCCTCATTGTCTGTATCAACGGCATTTGGAATGAAGTTGACCATGCACTTTAAAGGCAAACACAAGCTAGAAGCTTCCTCTACTGTTGATGCCATCCAGCTACAAACAACAGAATAACAGCAGAAGTTCGAGTAAATGATGGGGAAAACCATGATATGTTGGGAGACATTTATGTTAGTCAGGTCAGTGAAGAGATAGCATCAGAAAATGGATAAGGATCTACAGTCTGGTTTCTAGCTCTAAGACTCATCACCCTGGAATCCTATTCTGCTGAAATACCTTTCGGATGCCTGTCTAGAGAGCTCTGCTTTCTGTAGCTCCTCATCCTTCTCCTCCTCTTCCTCCTCTCTGTGGCGAAAAGGAGGTATTGAGGGTTGTAAGGAGGGATGGGCACAGGAAAGGAAAGGTAAAGCGAAAATGAAAGGAGAGGACAAGAACAAGAACCTTCACCACATGCTCTGACGGTAGAAGAAATGACACAGGAAATCATAACACAAAACATATAGACAAAGTCATATTACGTTACTTGGTTAAACTTTTCTGGTATTACAAAATGACAGTCACATCAACACAACAAGGAGGATACAAAACATTGTGAATAAAGCTGCCTTCACATTTTATAAGAATGATTGTAAGTTATTTTACCAAAAATTCGGAATCATCTACACGCTGATTATCTAGATAGAATGGTGAATGCACACAATAGTGTGGGAAATGTTTATGGTCGCTACACTTTCTTCAAAATCCCTTAAATATTGACTAAATATCTTCTTTACAGTTTGGCTTTAATAAGCCAATTTCCCCAAGGAATATGCAAGAATGAAGCAACCGTCCTACATGATTCCTATTATTTCCGACAACAAAGCAATTGAACACAACATACGTCTACAGCATGACCAGTGTAGTCCGACTCCTGAACTCTTACAAGCTGATTCTTTTTACTGAATCAAAAGGATACAGTGCAACTAGTCCAGTCCAGTCCAGTCCAATTCCCGAACAAATGACTCTGAGTCAGCTCGTTTTAATGAATCAAACACGGATAACTTATGCCGCAATCAAACTAGACGCAAAATTTCACTACAACATAATATGACGTTTTTGTTTAAATATAATTCAACATTTAATGTCCAAAATGGAATAATATTCACTCCACTTTACTGCAATGCTTTTAATATAGCTTTTAATTCAAATAAGAGGTTATGATGTGACATCAATCTTTTATTGGTCACATGTCTTTATATGATAAAAATTCACAGGTCAGAGTTCACCAAACTTGAACTTTGGCACGTAAACGAAACTCGTATGAGCATGCATTTCCTTCCACTTGTGTATGCTTGGAAGTCAAGTCAATGGAACGAAAAGTGAAGTCTGGTTGTTCAATTGATGTGAACTGTAGTTAAAGATGCACATTATGTGTTTTGTCAGCAACATTTTATAAATATTTATTAATTAAATATCATGCTTTTTGTTTATTATAGTTGTTTAATACATAGTTAAGGCCAACTATTGGATTGAATTTATGCAAGCACACAAAAGACTATGAAAGTCGTCAAAAAGTGTGTAAGCCAACATTTTGTAAGAATTGCATTAATTCTTTAAAAAAAATATGAATAACTCAAGTACTAAAAAAAAAATTGTTTCTGGAACTATTATGGAGCCATAGTTTTTAGGAGGATTCTGAACCAGATTCGTTAAAATCGTCACAATTCTCATCCCATTGTCAGATCAGACCAATAACTGATTTTTGGGTCATGACCCACCAGTTGAGACCCAGTGAGATACACAACAGTTAATACAGCAAATAATTAAGACCTTTAGGAGGAAGAGGAGAAGTCCTGTGCCTCACTGCTCAAGGGTCTCTCTCTCTTTCCGTCTCTTAGTAGACTGGTATTTATTACTAATATGGAAAACACCGCACATCAAAGGTCCTTCTAATTTCCTGTGGTGGGTTAGCTAACAGACATCAGGATCAGATGACTGACTGAGATGAATTCAACTATCTATCAACCAAACAGCTCTAAGAAAAATAACCCATGAAGCCCATCACTAACAGCATATCCTGTCATCAATAATTAAAAAGCAGAAGCAGTCTGTGCAGCTCAACAAAAGAAAAGTAATGTGAAATATAAAGAGATTGTGACAGGAGTATTGCTGACCCTCACACATATTCTTGGGTTTCAGACAGACACAAGTTCACAGCAACAATTTTGTTCGTATTTAATGTAATATTGATTTTGACTGATGCTGGTTGCTTATAACTGTGTGATGACAGATATTTTCTTTAACACAAATTCAATAGAGAAAGTTTACGTTTCAAGTACAATCAGACATCAAAACATTTTAACATACAAGAGAGACATTTCTTTTTTTTTAATTTACTATATTTTAACCAGTCTTGTTTTCCATTAAGAACATGTAAACATCCTTAAAACAAGATACATTTACTTAAATTTAGATAATAATATCTCTCTTATTTTATTAGCCCATTGGTAAATAATAATACGGTACAGTTCAAAAGTTTGGGGTCAGTAAGATGTTTTAAATGTTTTTGAAAGAAGGCTCTTGTGCTCAAGGCTGCATTTATTCAAAAATAATGTATTCAAAAATACAGTAAAAAACAATATTGTGAAATATTATAAGAATTTAAAATAACTGTTTTCAATTTTAATGTGTTTTAAAATGTAATTTTTGCCGTGATGGAAAAGCTGCATTTTCAGTATCATTACTCCAGTCTTCAGTCACATGATCCTTCAAAAATCATTCTAACATGCTGATTTGGTCCTCAAGGAACATTTCATGTTATTATGCATATTATGTTCATATTATTAAAGTTGAAAAAAGTTAGTTAATATTTTTGCGGAAACCATGATCAACTTTTTTTAAAGAATTCTTTGATGTATAGAAAGATTAAAAGAACAGCATTTACATGAAATATAAAAATTTCTTTACTGTGACTTTTAATCAATTTAATGCATTCTTGCAGAATAAAAGTATTAATTTCTTTCCACAAATAAATAAATTACTAACCCCAAACTTTTGAACTTCAGTAGCCTATATAAATTAATTTTATTATATTTATAATTATATATTATTTCATTTTATGGAATTAATTTTTACTATGGACTATATCTAATTTGATGAATTTGAAATTTTGAAATTTTTCTTGTTGCAATGTTTGTATTTCTACTTTGTTTCTCATTGCGGGCTCTAATTAATCAAATGGGACGGCCGATTCCACGCACTGCCGAGTAGATTTTCCGGGGCTCTAGTAAGATTTGCTCAGACACACAGAATACCTCCAGATTTTTCAACATTCCACTAACACAGAGCGGCTGAGCTGGCCGTACTCTCACTCTTCCACAGCCTCACGTGAACTTACTGTGTCCCTCCAAACGACTGACTCGCTGGATGAGAGAAAAAACATATGAAGCTTTTTCAATGGCTGATATACAGCTGCGGATATCTGTGCGTTCCCCTTTGTCCCTTGAAACATTCATAGGATATGAGTAAGTTGTATGATTATAGTTTACAACTAAATATACAAGGACAAGATTGAGAACCTCATGCTGTGCTACAGCCCTGAGAAGTATGCATGGTTTGTACCTCCATATTTCAGTAACTTCCTATTTCCCTCTCAGCCTCACAGGTTCCCAACGCCTCCCTCGTGTGTATGTGATTAATATGAATGTCTGTGCACTAGCAAGCGCCCTCCATCTCTCCCTCAGAGCATTATTAAATTCTCAATCTTCTTTTGGGGCTTAAAAAGTCTTATGTCAAAAGTAACATGATAGAACACCCAATATAAAACTGCTTCCTGTTCTTTAAAAATCAGTACATCCTAAACTACACATAGTGTTTTATGGCTGAAAGTGAATACATGTGATCAGGGGAAGGTAAAAATGGCTTAGTGTAGGATTTTCACTTTCAATTTTTCATAGACCACGCAAGACAACAGTTGAAAGTGTCATATCATTGTTTTTACTTTAAAAAAAAATATTTTCATAGTGTATTTTTGTTGTTTTTTTGGTACTTGTACTTTGGAGGTATTTGTTAATAATCTAAAATAGTTTAAAATAATAAAATAACCTGTCTAAAACTAAATCAATAATGTAAAAGCAAATAAATAAATAAGTGAAATGACTGAAATTTCACTTGTTTAAACAATTCTGTTATTAGTTTTTAAACTGCAGAAATACAAAATATAATTTCAAAAGTCAACTTCTCGCTCTGTCTTTCTCTCTTCTCACCGTCAGCTAAATGAATAAATGTAAATGTAAATGTTCTCACCTTTCACTGATATCTTCAATCCTCTGGCCATTAAAGGGCAGGATGTTGGGTGTGTGGCTGTGGCAGGGGGAAGTAGGAGCAGAAGTGTGGCCTTTCCCATTTTGGAGCGAGTGTCTTCGGCTACGTCGTCGTTCCAAACCCCGCCTCTCAGGTGTGGCCCCCACGCTGGCCCGACGCCGACTTTTATGTCCAGATGGAGAAGGCTGAGCCTCATCATCGCCATCTTCATGACGAAGGATTGACTATGGATATACATGACTATTAGACTAACAGCAAATAGAAAATGTTGCATTAAAGCATCACAGCTAAGGATAAATCAAGGTCTACCTATAGAGTCAAAATATTTGGCACAAAAAACATGCATAGCAATTGTTCATTATACGTTTTTGTGTGAAAAAAATATTTTATAGTTTCATATCATTCAGTTACACTGGTGTGAATTTGAACCTCTGGATCAATCAGACGTTGTCCAATTGAAAAGCAAACTGAGCATGTGCTAACCTCATAGATGTTGAATTGCTCCACTAGATCCAAGTCTGTGCCCTTCCTGTTGACGTGCCTCTTGGCCACGGCCTCCATGCCCTGCTCCTCCAGACTGTCCACCACATCATAGAAAGAGTCCTGGTCTGGCAGACCAGCTAATGTCTGGAGGAACACCACAGATATGTGAGGATATTTATAACAAACACATGAAACTGAGAGTCTGCAAAAAGAGTCTGAAATCTTTGAAACATATACTGTGCAGGTACCTTGTTGATAAGGGTCATGGCATAAACCAACAGCTCAGTGTCCATTCCATCTTTCTCATCCAGGATTTCCATGGGATTGGACCAGGGCTTACAGCCTGGATACACATAAATAAAAAGGGTCATAAACTCCTGTCCATTTAGTCAATTTAGACCTATTTAGTAAGGTTTTCATTTCAAGAATTTCACTTTTTAATGAAGCCTTTTTCTTTGTTATTGACACATTCTTCACAAGGTTTTATTTTTTATTTTATGCCCACAAAAAATTACTAAATTAATTCTAATTCAGAAATAGAAGAGGTGCATTCTTACGGAGCCCCTAAAGGGACATGGTGGTGGAAAAAAATATGACATGGGAGGAAAAATAATAAGTCAATGCTTTTGCCCCGAGAAACTTTGCGTTCCCTTGCAAAAACGTTTGCGTTCCCCGAGAGACTGTGCGCTCACTCACAAAACCTTTCGAGCTCTTTGCGAGCGAACGCAAAGTTTCTCAGTGGAACAAAAAACATTTGCGAGAGAATGCAAAAACATTGACAAATTATGTGACACCATGTCCCTTTAGGGGCTCCGTACATTAAAGTCATTGTATGTTTGAATATCATTTTTTATGTTTTCCTGAATAAATTAATATATTCTGACAAAACTGAACGTCATGTAATTCACCCAAAAAATATTCTTTATTTGATGGTAGTTGATTTGAATTCACAGAATTCAAAGGAACTGTGGATTAGTACCCTTCTTGTGGTATTTGTTTAAATATGGCTGGTTCAGAAGCAAATGAGCAGCATTAGTTTGAGGAGAAAATGTCTGTTATGTAGATTATTAGCTAAAGACGTTCTGCTTCATCTGCCAGCCTGTCTGTCTCTCACTGGGAGACCAGAGACAGCCTTCTCTCCTCTTATGTAACAGTATTAAACCCTGTTTTCATCCTAGCTGTCTTATCTTAGTAGCTCTGGTCCTATCAACACCTTTTTCCAATGAGCTCAGTCCATTAATCTTGATTTACTCCTGCTGTATTTTGTTCACTCTCAAAGCAGAGGTCGATAATATGAGCAATTACCAAAGAGTTGACTCAGCAAACAGATTGTTCTCAGAACTTCCCTAAAGTTCTGGTAAGGTTCTCTCAAAGTTATGAACAAATGTTCTTCCAGTAGCGTTAATAGAATGTTGTTCAAAGTTATCCGGCCTTTAATAATGTACTCAAAACTTCTCTTTCTTTGTACGTTCATCTAACATTTTTAAAATGTTACTAGTTTCAGAATGCTTAGAGAACATTCAAAAATAATGTTTAACATTCAGAAACATACTTAATGGGAACATTAGCAAAATGTTCTTAGGACAACAGTCAAAGTTTGTTAACTGTCAGCTTCGCTTGTTGCTTCCTCTCTTCTCCTGTTTTAACCTGAAGGGAAACAAACCTCCCCAGAGGAGTTTCTCCCCGTCATCTCTGTCCCACAAACATTGTAACAGCCAGACTCTGGATACGAGCTCAGCTTGGACTCAAATACAGAGACTGAGAGTTGAAAAGAGCTGAAAATGGATTTCCAGAGACACTCTGAAAACTTTCCAAGAGTATTTCACTTTCCATATTGTGTGTGTGTGTGTTTGTGTGTGTGTGTTTGTTTGTTTGTTTGTTTGATGTGTTCAAACTACCTTGCTTGGTGTCAACGGTGTTGACAGCCTGGATGAGGAGGGGTGCGTTGGTCTCGGTGTATTCTACAAAAACCAGCAGCAGCTTCAGAGCAGTTTTAACAACCAACCGGAACTGCAAACATGTACACACACACACACACACACACACACACACACACACACAAAGAAAGAAACAATATTTATCTCTGTACAACAACATACACTAATCTTAGCATTTGCCTTTACACTCCATAAAATGATATTCTGCTGTAGCCCACACTTGATCTTACACTATCTAGACTCTGTCTAAATTAAGTGTGTATTTAAAGGGTATTAAAGCCCAGGGAACATCTTGACACTTTTTCCTGAATTGGGTCACATGGAGGATATTGATAACAACATCTGACACATGACTGCAAACTGACAGGAAGAGGAGCTACTTTAAATGTCCTGCAAGGTCTCTGTGATATGACCCCTGTTTTTTTCTCTCTCTCTCTGTACCATGTTCCAGAGAAGTCACGGATTTAGCTTTTCTTTTCCAATGTACTTTCTTGCCCGTGTTCTTTCCAGTGTTCTTTCTCACGTCTCAGTTACGACTGTAACCATGGTTCCCTGAAAAGGACGCTGCGTTGAGAATGACGTTGTGGGAACGCTCCGCATGACTGCTTCGTGAAGCAAGTGTGAAATCAGTCCAATGGTGTGACGGGATGTCCTAGGTGGGTGGAGTCACTACCAGGAAACTATAAGGCCTGCCCAAATAAAGCAACGCTAGCTTCTGATAGGATAAAGTCATTGACAGGCATGCAGGAAGTATGGCAGGGGGACACAGCGTCTCGTTCCTCTTTCAGGGAACCAAGGTTACAGTTGTAATCGAGATGTTCCCTTTCAAGGGAACTCGCACTCCGTAGAGAATGACGCTGTGGGAACGTTTATACCCACGCCGCCATAAAGACAAGTGCCTGATTTGTATGAAATCGTGAAGAGCAGCACTAAGACGAGAGTCCAGGTCTAGATTATAAAACCTAACAAATATGTGTGGAGAGGACCATCCCGCCACATTTTGCAGGGACACACGGTAAAATAGCCTTAGAGGCAGCCATACTCCTAGTGGAGTGGGCCCGGACTGACATAGGTGAAGGTTGTCCGGCAGACTCATATTCAAGAGAAATAGCCTCAACTATCCATGCATTCTCTGCTTAAATGCTGGGACCCCTTGCTGGGTGACCCAAAACAGACGAACAGCTGTTCAGATTTACGCCACAGGGCAGCTCTGTGCACATAAGCAACTAAAGCTCAAACTGGACAAAGCAGATTGTTTCTTTCCAGGTCTGGATCCCGAAAGCGAAGAGGACAGAAGGCCTGCAGCACAGATCTAGCCACATTTGTGGGGACCTTAGGAAGAATGTAACCCGACTTAGGGTGAAAAAATGCCTTCACCATGCCAGGTGCAAACTCAAAGCTCGAAAGGGCAACCAACAGGGCTTGCAATAACCTACTCTTTTATGAGACGTGAAAGCAAGGAGAAACAAAGCTTTAAGAGTCAGGAACTTGCCTGGAACCTCCTCAATAGGCTTGAAGGGAGCCAAGGACAGGCCTTCTAACACCAAATCCCAGGCAGGCACCCTGCAGGCGCAGCCTCAAGGTACCACGGAGGAAACAGGTTCCCAATGGCTCTCTCCCCAAGGACATAACACCCAAAGGAATGTGGTAAGCAGCTATGGCAGCCATATAGACCTTTAAGGTGGACGGGTACAACCCTGCGACAAATTTGTCTTGCAGGAACTCAAGCTCTGTACCAACAGGGCAGTTAACTGGGTCCAGCTGATGACCTCTGCACCAAGAAGTGAATACTCTCCACTTCAGGGCATAAAGTTTCTTCATGGAAGGAGCTCTGGAGTGAAGTGTGGTCTCAACAACCTTGGTTGAGAGACCATAATCTATGAGCTGGGCCCCCTCAGAGGCCAAGCCCACAGTTTCCACAACTCTGGATGGGGGTGATGAATTGGGCCCCCTGCATGGGACAGAAGCTCCCTCCTGATCGGAATCTGAGCCGTCGAGGAGGGACACAAGGTCCGAGAACCATACTTGGCCTGGCCACATAAATCATGTGTATCCCCACCGGTAATGTAGCGAGGGCAGGAAGGAACACAATTTAAAATGTTATTTGCTTGCCATAACTCTTATATATGAGACAGACAACACCAAATAAGACAAAAACGATTTCAACAGAGAGCGTTTACTGAAGACACAGAAGCTAGTGTTGTTTTGTTTGGGCAGTCTTTATAGTTTCCTGGTAGTGACGTCACCCGCCTATGAAGTCCCGTCACACCATTCGACTAATTTCACACGTGCTTCATGACGCAGTCACACCAAGCATTCCCACAGCATCATTCTCGACGCAGCGCGAGTTCCCTTGAAAGGTAAATAAACTTAATTTAATATATATATACTCTGAAAACATGCCATATTATCTTACAAAATTTTGCTTCTGAAGTAAAGTATCTGTAATTATCAAGCATCATATTTTTACAGGAAACAATACATAAATATTGTAAATATTTAATATTAAATACATAAATATTTAAAAAATAATCTCCTTTGCAAAAATGCATATGCTTTCAGCATTATAGATTGAGACACTGAGGCATGATATTTTTAGGAAAACAAGGTGAAAGAGAGAAGAGCCCTGAAATCCAATAGACATAAGTGAAAAGTAAATAAAACAGAAGTAAATAAGAGCAAAAAATACAGGATCATGAATGTGATTGTGAGTATGGAGGAAAGTGGAGGAACAGCGGGAGAAACAGATCTGTGTTTAATAATGTTAGAGCTGCTCTTTTAAACCATACAGTGCATTCCACATGTACCATATAACAGGAAGAGAGAGAGAAGAGGCAATAGGAAATGCATTTAAACACTGCTGTATCCAGCACAGAACTGCTCAAACATCTGCTGATTTGGTGATCACAAACATCCATTTCACATCCAACCTCTACCACATACACACACGCACACAGGTTTATATGTTTTATGGGGGCTTTCCATAGACATAATGATTTTTAAACTGTACAAACTGTATATTCGATTCCCTAACCCACTTCGTATATAAGCTGTTTTCCTCATGGGGACCAAAAAATGTCCCCACAAGGACGAGGATTTCGGATATTGACCAACCCACACACACACCTGTCCTGTCCTATCATATATGCTCATTTTTGCCACTAGAGGGCTGGACAGGACCCAGAAAGAACACTGCGTGCCGTGCGAACCTGTGCCACACTCTGTGTGCTGGCACACCTAGAAGTTGCCCTGCTGAGTTAAAGCATGCTTTACAAACATTTGCTCAAATGAACATAAATACAGGGGAAAAACAGGAAAGTCAGTCATGAACACTGCGTGCAAAACTACGGCACCCTCTGAGTATTGTTCAAGCTGGCACACCTGGAAGCTGCCTTAACTTAAAACATTTGCAAACACTGGCTAAAAAGAACATAAATACAAGAAAACGTACCTTTCGGTCCTTATTGAATTCATTACTTCTGAACAAAATAATAGATCTGGTAGGCTCTCAAAACAAGTGTTTCTGATCTACTTTTGAACTACTTTTTGAAGTTTTCAAGACTAGGTTTTAAAACCAAGCAATAAAATTTAATAATATTACCATGAAGTGCATAGGCCCAGCAATATGCAAAATTATACATCTGACATAGGAGGAACAAATGTGATTAGTGTGTCAAAATTGTATTATTTACATATAAATTTTATTTATATAATTTATTTTATTTTATTAAATGCATCAAGCATCGTCATAAGCATGCACCGATATTCTGGCGATACCAATAAGCCAATAATATTCATGTTCTGGCATACCATTTTGTCTAAATAAATGAGAAGTTAAACACTAAAAACCAAAATAAACTGTTTTAAATAAATTACTTAAACTGTTTTAATCTACAAGTGAATTTAGTTGTCAACACATTAATCTACATGAAAAACATTCATTGTGAGATTTTCTAAAAATAACATTTAACAGTGTTATTAAATTATTGGTGTTTTTACAGATTAACTTTAAGTGAGCATTAGATGATGCCAAAGGCAATCTAAATATTAAAAAAGGCAAATAAGCATGCAAAACTAAATATTTAATATTGGCTGACTGTCATATAAATTTGTGGTTTGGTTTCACATTCATGTTTTCATGTCTCTTAATTCGAAATTTAGTCATAGTCATGTTTTCTGTTTCATGCCATGTGATCCTGTCATATGTTCTTGCCATGTGGGTTCCTTTAGTTCATGGCTGCGTTTAACTCCACTTTTAGACACACTCACATATCGGTTATGCACATGTTTTATGTTGTGTAAATATATCAGTGTAACAAGTCATCCACTGGAAGAAGAGTTAAATGACCCACTTGAATCACTGCAAAAAAACATCATGAAGTTAAATACACACACTCATTTAAAATTTTAACAGTGAAATTTCCTTTACCTTTGATCCAACCAGTGTGTAAAGCCACTGTACAGTTTCATTGTGTCTGATAAGCCCATTCATTCCATCCACGTACAGCATGATTTGTCCAAGAGCTAAAAGAGAGAAAGAGATATATACATAATTAGGTTGCTATGCAGGTTTTAATGTATTTCAGTGCATCGTTATACGGTTGGCTGAAGTGTTCTGTGTATTGCTAACTGGTCCAAGTCAAATGAACCCACCACCACTGGTCCTAGATATTCTTGTCCTTTGTTAAACTTAATATTCAACAATATTATTGATTTGACTGCACTGACACTATTGGATGAGAACTGAACTGAGCTGGATGATGACATCACTGTTTCCTGCAGAACTGCTTTATAGATTTAATAATTAAAGGTTCTCTAAGCGATCCTGGGTGACGTCACTTCTTGTTGACGTTCGAACTATTGTCAAACAAAACGGAGGCTAGCTAGACCCTCCCTCCTCCTCATCCGCACACTAACCCCCCAAACCACACCCCCAAACCCTTCTTGTCGGTCATTGGCTGGAACAGTTTGTTATGTTTTGGGGAGCGGGTCGCTGCAGTTTGTTTTTGGTGCTGTTTGTGAAGCATGGGCTGTCTACAGAGATCGCGTTTCTTTACAGTGTGTTCAGGGGACAGGCAGCCAGCGGATAGTGAGGAGATGTTTGCTGTATGTGACAAAAAATGTTTTGGCCTAAAAAACACATGACATCGCTTAGAGCACCTTTAATGATCTTTACAACAGAATTGAATCAACACTGAATTGACTTCAGCTGAACAATGACACTATTTTCTTTTAGAGCTGCTGTACAGCCGATATTAACTCTGTCTACATCATTGAATCATTCTCCTGTTATCACTGTAAAGCTGCTTTGAAACAATCTGTGTTGTATAAAGCGCTATTTAAATAAAGGTGACTTGACTTATAGCTTGGGTCCAGTGTTCGAACCACATAAAAATAGAGATACAATAAAAATTAATATATAATTATTATTCAATAAATAAATAATACAAGTTGTTTGAATAAATAATAATTTAATATTACTTTAATCAAATAATAATAAATGTTCTATTTTATTGGAATAAAAAAGAACAGTTGAATTACTGCCCTGACAAGATCATTGCTTTTTTAAATGAACTGTAGCAGATAACGTTAAGTAACATTATACATTTACTTTTTATTCTTATTTATGCTTACAATATACATTAATGCTACAGCAAAAGCTTTTATCCATATTGCATTCAAGCTATACAGAGCTATACTGATCTTTTTATCAGATCATGTATTCATTGGGAATTGAACCCATGACTAGTGCCATGATTGAGCCACTGGAACACAATAAATAGTTCACTGCTTTGAAGTCAAGTTAATCAATTACATCTACTGGCATAAAATAAGAACTTTATTCCATGTGTGTTAGCGTGGGATTTGAACCTGTAGAGATTTGTATCAGGAGTATGAATTTAACCTCTGGCCCACCTCACCACTGGATTATTCCTCATATGCACAAGTACATTTAGCAACTGCAAGTTCCTAACGTTTTTAGTATATAATATTACTTGAGCAAAATTGTGTGCTTTGGAAATTATTTTCACTTGAAATGCAATAGTGAAGCAAAACTGCTTCATACCACTGGTTAAGAGCTTGTATGTGTGCTTGCATGTGCACAGCAGTGATACAGCAGTGTGGTCAGTGTTTCCATTGTCTCCTTAGCAACTCAGAGGAGGTCTTCTGGTAAAGGAAGTGTCGTGACAGAACTCGAACTATAAAGAAAACTCTTCACACGCCAATGAACCCTCACATATGTGTCCAAAGTTTAAAGTAATCAGAGTACAAACAGATACAGCCCTCTATATGTGAAGAGCAGGATTTTGTTCTGATCAAAGTGAAGAGTGTCAATGAGATCCATCTGGAGCTGTCTGAATACACAATCTGCTGCAAAGAGTTATTGTAACACACACACATTAACTCACCCGCTCCCTTTAACAGGTCAACCGTTCTCAAATAAACAACTGAACTTTGCACAAACTTTAAGGACTGTTACACTTTCAATCTTGACACAGAAATATACAAACACACATCTACAAAACCACATTTATAGGTTAATGCAATCAATTCGCATTGTTGAGTGAGTGTTCTGGAATTTTTCAAGGTAGTGGAGTGGCAATTAAACAATGATGGCGGAAGCGAACTCACCTACGCTTGTTTGGATAGCCTAGTTATACAGGTGAAACTCGAAAAATTTGAATATTGTGCTAAAGTTAATTTATTTCAGTAATTCAACTTAAAAGGTGAAACTAATATATTAGTAGATTCATTACATGCAAAGAGAGATATTTTAAAGGGGTCATATAATGCCATTTTTGTACAAGTTAATTTGAATCTTTAGGGTCTAAATGAAAACTTTGTAATATACTTTTATAAAAAATTATCATTAGTATTTTAAGAAAACAAAAATTTTACCTGGTAAAAAAAACCTCTGTTTTCAGCACGCCGTTTCAGTGCATATGCCTTTAAATGATAATGAGCTTCGCTCACTCCGCCCCTCTGTTCTGCGGGCGTTTTGATACAACGCACGTGGAGTGTTGCCTTGACAACAGTTGAGGGTATAGTTTGGAGTAAGAATGGCAGCGGGAGTCTCTGAGGACACATCTGTGCAATCGTATCAATTTGAACCGGAGTCGCACCCGGAACAAGATCCGCAAAGAAGTTCGACAATTAAGGCTTGAGCAGGACGTTGCTGAATGGTTGGTTAACGTAATGTCACTTTGATCTATTTTTGTATGCACTGGCAGGGTAGAGTAGATACGAACGCTATGTGTTTACTGATGTATACGTTAGTTCATTGACAGATTGACGTTACAACTAATGGTCATGAAAAACTTTTTTTCGCGATTTGCAAAGATTAATATAAAGGTTAATAAAACGATGGGTTACTTAACGTAATCCCGGGTTCTTTGATAACAGAGTGAGGTGTTTCACTATGGGAATTGCTTTGGGCGTGACCAACTACGGAAGCTCCTATGCCACCACGTCTGTTTTTGACAGACAGGTCGACCTGAGATCAGGCTCCGCCCCCACCTATATCACTCAGGTCGACCCATAACGAAGTCATTATAAAGAGATTTCTTCCCGTTCCTGTGCAAGGAGGGAAGTGTTGGTGAAACACCTCACTCTGTTATCAAAGAACCCGGGATTACGTTAAGTAACCCATCTTTCTTTTTCTAACTTCGCTCAGTGTTTCACTATGGGAGATATAGACCACTCCCGGTTTGCACAACGTACGTTATACTTATCATATGGGACCTGATGTGCTGGCTCCTAGCACTGCATGAGCTAAGGATGGCTCCGACACATTCAGTCTATAAAATCGTACAAAAGTGTGCGGTGTAGCCCAACTTGCTCCCGCACAGATCTCCTGGACTGAAACTCCCTTAACTAAGGCCCATGAAGTAGCCATGCCCCTAGTGGAGTGGGCCCTTAAGCCCTCAGGAGGCTGAGAACCCCTGCATTTATATGCTAAAGAGATAGCCTCTATAATCCAATGGGACAGTCGCTGGCGTGACAACGGCTTCCCTTTGTGAGGAGTAGCCCATGACACAAACAGCTGGTCATTCTTCCTGAAACCTGCTGTCCTTTCCACGTACACACGAAGCGCCCGTGCGGGACATAAAGAATTCAATCTCCTATCCCCCGGAGAAGAGAACGGAGGAGGGTGGAAGGCTGTAAGTTCTGTAGTTTGACATCTATAAGACGAGTCGTACTCGGTTACTGACGTAACCTCGGTTCTCTCTAGAGAGGGAACGAGTATTGCGTAAGTTTAGCTTACGCTACGGGAAAGATTCATCTTCTCGAGATATTGAAGCCAAAAAATTATCCTTAATTTTGTATTCATTGTCAACGCAGTGCAGCAGCTAGCAGACCTAGAGCAGGCAGTCTTGCGTGCTCATTGGCTGCCCTGCGGGCATCTGCTGCAGCCTACCAGTGAGCCCCGCGTGACGTCACGCCCAATGAAGGGTGCCCGCGCCTTCATAGCGTCATAGCCCGCCAGAACAATATTTCTTAAATATCTACATGCATGTGTGTGTATTTATATATACAAAATAATTATACACAGTACACACACATATATTATATAAACACAAACTTATATTTTGGATGCAATTAATTGCGATTAATCGTTTCACAGCCCTAAAAAAGATAAATGTCAATCGAGCCATGTAACAATAACATTCAATCACATTTTATGAGATTTTACTCATACTACTTTATGAGCACATTTTACTGAAATTCATGCTGAAATCTTCCTGTGAGGAGTTCTTTAAAGCCTATTTAACAACAGTAACCAAGGGGGCGGAGTTTAAAAAAAGGAAAGATTGATACTGATTTTAAGTTGCAATGGTGAATGTTGACTGTAAAGGTTAGTTTCTATTTTGTGCACTATTGATTTAGAACAGGGAGTAGTTTTATGAGGTGACAGGATTGTGCACAAAAATAATAAAATAAATAACAGAGTGCTAAAAATGCTTCCTATCTTTGTCAGTACTGACACTGCCCAAAATGCATCTATTTGATTCTGACCAAAATGATTTGAATGCACATCATAATTACGATTTCTGAACTTCCATGGAGGGAAAGGCAGCATATGTTCAAGCTGAGAGACTCCGTGGACAGGCAGGAGTCATAACAAACAGACTCGCACGCACACATTGTGCAGTTTAAATATTGCTCTTGAAGCCTGAAATCTCAGCCTGTGTGGCAGTGCAGTGGGGAAAACATTTGAGCAGGCTGATCCACCCAAGCGTAACATGACTTCCATTTGTAGCAGGACACGTAAAGCAGGTCATAACAAGAGCTCAGGGAACTCCATAGGAGGCCACTAAAATCACAGAGCTTCCATTTGACTGGAAAGACTGGAGGAAGAAATAAAACTGAGAGCACTGACGAAGACACAAGCAACAACGGTTGAAGGTCACTGTGACTTTCTGAGCCTTAGTTCAGCTGAAGAAAGGTTTCTGGCTCCATTGAAGAGACTAAATCTGTACTCTTACAGATACTATCCATAGCTAGCTTGCCATTTTAGACAG